TGGGATAATGAGAGGGGTGTCTTCAAAATGGGTGGAAAGGAGGTTAAGTTACATGCTGACCACGTGGCTCTGTTGATAGGGATGTCGAACAGAGGAGAGTCTGTTTCATGAAAAAAGGACCCCTATCAAATATGGATGTCAGACAAATAAAGAACCAACTGACAAACTTTTTTGCAGAAGGAGCCTCCACCCCACCTTTTGAGTAGTTATACTTGAAATTCTTACTAACTAACTTATTTTTTCCTTCAAGCAATTTTCACAATTTTCAAGCAATTTTCATGTGCTTGCAGAGCTATCTTCTTTTGTTGTAAGTGTACAAGCTTTTTCGTCCTTTAATTGGCCTGCTGTCATATGTGATATGATCATTGTTCAAGTGAGAATCGCATCAATGAAATTAAGGCAGAATAAGTCAATTGGCTACATTCAAGGATTTGTATTTCTCCTAATAGTAAGTATTTGTTATTTACATTGAAACATCACTCTTATGATTTTTTTGTTTGATGCCTTGACTTTTGCATACATGTTGATGGTCTAAAACATCCCCAGCTTTGGTTTTACGAGCACACCTCTCTTTTAACTCCTGATGCTCCTGACGCTAGACCTCGCATGCTGAGGTGGCCAACCAATCATGGGTTGAGTGCTGAGAAGATTCATGAAGCCTTCAAGAGACTTGATTATGTAAACCATTTAATTTTGATTACAGCTTATTGGCACATCTTTTTAGTAGCTTTCTAAGAGTGATTACAATGATTCTGACGAATACATTTTTATTGTAGGTTAATGACGGATTCTTAGCTTTGAGTGATGATGAAGTACAACTCCTCGAAAATCCAGAGCAGGGACCGTCGATCCCTGCAAGGCAACTTCCACATCACGAAAGTACTACAGAATCATCTTCACCCAAATCGTATGTCAGGGGTACAATTGTTTCTAGTGATATAACCCCAGTACCCGGACATACAACGGAGAGTGCTGATTTCGGGGTACTATATGAGATGCTAAAATCTCAGGAACAAATAAGCTTAAATATACAAGAAACTGTTACTGATATGAGTGCACGGATGAATATTGTGGTAGAAGCATTGTCCACCCTAACAGGTTTGGTGCATAGATTAGTTGAAACCAAGGCTGAGAAGTTCACTGAGAAAATAATATCTGATACAAGTAAGAAGACCAGCAGTAGTGGTCATCAGCAAAAGAGGAAAGTGGACCCCCCAGCATCTCAATACCAGTTTAAGAGAAGACGTAGAAAAATTGATGATGTGGATATTGTTGCTCCTGTAAATATACGGCTCACTACCCAACCAAATACATAAGACTGGCGCTATAGAAGTTGTAAGTATATTCAACTAAATTAAAAGTAACATAATTGCATTCGAAGATTAACACAGTAACATCTCAATATCATTCAGGCGAATATGTTTGCCAGAGATGCCGCTGATTCATTTACATCCAAAATCAATAAATGGTCCCTATCGATTACAAAGAATGTACCAACACAAAGGAATAGTTTTGATTGTGGCATGTTCGTCTGCAAGTACATGGAAACTCTAGTGCAAGGCGAAGAAGTCGACTAGAGTGCACATATGAACTGGCAGGATCATATGGAGCGATTTAGAGCAGAATTTGTTTATGACATGTGCTTATTTTTTAGGACTTCTGATTAGAGTTGTATAATTTTACTTTGCATATTTTGTTTAGATAACTGTATATGTGATAGCTTCATGGTTACTGTATATTGATTATTTGTATAGCTTACTCACGTGTTTGTAGCTTGTTGAATGTTGGTCAACTGCCTTAGTTTATATCTTGACACAATGTTTATAGCTAACTATTAGTATTTACATGTCATTTGCACGTTGAATAACACGGGAGTAATACCTAGATAACACGACAGTAACACGAGCATAATGCATCTGCTACATCCTGAGTAACACGTGGATAACACGTGAGTAACACGAGAGTAACGTATATGCTACATCTTGAGTAACACGTGGAAAACACGACAGTAACATGAGAGTAATGCATCTGCTGTGGATAACACGTGAGTAACACGAGAGTAACGTATATGCTACATCTTGAGAAACACGTGAAAAACACGACAGTAACATGAGAGTAATGCATCTGCTACATCTTGAGTAACACGAGAGTAACACGTGGATAACACAAGTAACACGAGAGTAACGCATATGTTACATCCTGAGTAACACGTGGAAAACACGACAATAACACGAGAGTAATGCATCTGCTACATCCTGAGTAACACGGGAGTAACACGTGGATAACACGAGAGTAACGCATGTGGTACACCGCGAGTAATACGGGAGTAACACGTAGATAACATGAGAGTAACACGAGCGTAACACATATGCTACACCCTGAGTAAAACGGGAGTAACACGTAGATAACACCCTGAGCCAATAAATATAATAATATTACCTATCCTATTTAATTTATAATATAAAATTTATCTAAAAGAGTTTAAAAATTTATCACAAATCTTTGATCGTATGAATAACACGAGGAAGAATAACACGAGGAAACACGAGGAAATTGGGAATAACATAGATTAATCGACGGTAACACGGTGTAGTAACACGGCAGAATACGCGTGATAACACAGAGTAACGCCGATTAATCGGTCAGTAACAGAGGGAATATTCGCTGTGAGCGTGCATTAAGAGGGCAATAACCCAAGTTATTCTCGTGTTTCTCTTATGGTTTTCAGCATGAGTTATTACAATGATATTCCTGTGTTATTTTCGTGTTATTCTCGTGTTATTTACGTATTATTGTCCGTGTTATTCCCGTATTATTGATGTGTTCTTCCCGTGTTATTCACGTATTATTGTCCGTGTTATTCCTGTATTATTGATGTGTTCTTCCCGTGTTATCCTCGTCTTCTTCCCGTGTTATTAACGGGTTCGCCAGGGTGTTATTGACGTCTCCCATACGGTGTTACAGTTGATATATGCATTTGAACGGGATTAATACACAAATATTTGAACAAACACATATTCTCGTGTTATTCACGTGTTATTCACGTGTTATTCCCGTGTTATTTACGTATTATTGTTCATGTTATTCTCGTATTATTGGTGTGTTATTCTCGTGTTATCCTCGTCTTCTTTTCGTGTTATTAACGATATTCCTCGTGTTATTCACGTGATATTCCCGTGTTATTACCATACTATCCTCGTGTTATTCCTGTGTTATTCACGTGATATTTCCGTGTTATTCTCGTATTATTTATGTGTTATTCTCATGTTATTCCTCGTGTTAATGTTATTCCTCGTGTTATTTCCATCGTGTTATTTCCACGTTAATCTCGTATTATTCTCGTGTTATCCTCGTCTTCTTCCCGTGTTATTAACGGGTTCGCCAGGGTGTTATTGACGTCTCCCATACGGTGTTACAGTTGATATATGCATTTGAACGGGATTAATACACAAATATTTGAACAAACACATATTCTAAACCACAAATTACTTTTTCGTAAAAAGGTTTACAGATTATATAGTATTATAGCTTTTACAATATCAATCAATATAAATTCTCACTTATGGATTCCATCAATTCCATCAAAAGTCCAGCGTGCGTTTCACTTAGTTGCGGTGCATAGTTTTCCTGCAGCATGTGAGTAATACGAAAAACAATTAAAGTAAATGATTTTATATAAGAGGTAGTGATATGATACTGAATTTTATCAGCATACCTGAGTATGGCAATCCGTCAAACTTTGCTCGAATGCGTCCACGGCTCGACGACTACTTGCTGCCTCTTGTTCCATTCCGGGATGCAATGAGTCAAATTAGAAGTACACATTATACATGGAATGGAATGAGGAAATACTAAATTAAAAAAAAATTATACTTTTGGCTTTCTTATTTCTCTCCCAATGTCCTTTCAGCCTAGTTGTAGATACTCCTTTCAGCCTTTTTTTAATAGGGTCATTCACATTGCATTCTATATTTGTGGTTTTATTCTTCTTTTTTGTTTTCTGTAATTCTATCGTTCTCCCTACTATAACATCCTCAATATCTCCTGATATCTTTTTAAACGTCTCCCACAAACACTCCTCAGCTAACTCATGTCCTTGTACTCTATTAATGAGTTGATATGCAAATTTTTGGGAGCATGAATTGAATATAAGGGAACTTGAAGAAACATTATTATAGACGGAGTCTTTTAGCTCTCTGCACCCAAATCTGTTATACATGTCCCTTTTAACATTGATGGACCACCGCAATAAGAAATATTTCTCCGAAATCACCTTTATTTTTACGAGACTTATAACAAATAGTGCATGGGAGCACAACAACCCCATCATCTCAAACTTTTTGCAACTACATGTAACCTCACAAGTAACATTGTCAACTAACACATTTCAGGGCTGCCTTGTCGCCTCATCATCCAATCTTGATACATAATATTTAGCATCACTTTCCACTGTACTTCAGATGTCAGCCCACATAAGTCATTCAAGAGCTCTTGTTCAAACATTGAGTAAAGCTTCCTTGTATAGAATGAGGCAGCTTGCCTCAGCATGTGATTGATTTTAACCATGGGTGTCCTCACGGACTAACTGCATTTGAAATCTTCATCTTTCTCACTCCGGCGCCACAATTTCATTATGTTTTTAAGACCGATAAAACAATCTGTGAGAGAGCTAGTTGGCTTTGAAACACCATGACAAACATTGTTGGTCAACTCACTTCTTTGTGTTGATAAAATTCCCATACCGAATATATCCTTATTAAATGTTGTTGACCATTTATGTCTTATACGATACATTTCATCTAACCAAACATTATTTTATAGTTCCCCAAACTCAATCATTAAGGACCACGTTTCTTCAAACTCCTCCTCATAATCACACTTGCTCAAGCATTTATAAAAAAGAACACAGACACTCTTAGTACGCACTTCACAGTGTACTTTGGAAGGCAGTTTCTTATAGATATGTCATTGACATAATCTATGACGTGTTTGTGGGAGGCATTCTGCAATGGCTCTTGCCATTGCTTGATCCTGATTGGTAAAAATTGTTATGGGATGTTTGTCTCCCATTATTCAAATGAATGATTTGAATAACCACATGAATGATTCAGCAGTCTCATCAAATAAAAATCCAACTCCAAACAGTATGTTCTGCCAGGTTAACCCCCCACAAATGGAGCGCAACATAAGTTATATTTATTTAATCTGTAGCTTGTATAAAAAATTATGACATCCCCGAAACAGTCATAATCCAGTCTGCACAATCCATCACTCCAAAATATGCTATATGCTTGTTAATGCTTGTTAACCTACCAGACTCATCTGTTTGGAAATCCCAAGCAAACATGTTGTCCCTAGTTTGCCTCTCCATGAACAATTGTATTAAAACATTGGCATCTCCCTGTTCAATTCTTTGTCTTCTTTCTCTCTGGATAAAATTAAATGCATCTCTCTTGGTGCACTCCAACTTCTCCTCACCACCAACCTCCGTGGCAATGAAATTGTATGCATGTGTTGCTCTGATGCCTGAACCTGTCATGAATCTCAACACATCTGCATTAATCCCACTTATCCTTCTGTTGGAACGAAGAATGTTGGAACAATCCCACTTATCCTTCTGTTGGAACGAAGAAGATGCTTATCACTACTTTCGGCCAAAGGATGATTATGATTTTTACTGTCCAATTGCACTGTCCAATTGCCTTCGAAATCAACTTGAAATCGTACCATAACCTTACAGTCAGTCCTCGTGTCCGCTTTTCTGAACTTAACTGTGTTGTTAGGCTCTTTCTTATAGCCAGCTTTTCCACAAATATAACCTTTAACCTTGAGTTTCTTGGAGTTCGACCAGTAGGTGGTATGATCATTCCAAACAGTGAATCCCACGTGATGTGCATAGGCACGACAGCTTTCATATGCTTCTTCCTCACTGTGAATAATGCTGTTAAGAACCTTCTCTGCAATAGGATCATTGCAAACTTGTGTTGCCTCTGAGGACTGCATAAAACAATGGTGATATCAATAACACCAGAATAACACAAGGGTAACACAAAAAAAACCATAATAATACAAAAGCACTGTAGAACAACACCCAAAAGATACTACATCAACACCTACTTTTACATGTAGTAACACTGCAGTAACACCAAAATAACACAAGGGTAACACCATTAAACCAGAAGCCTAAAACCATAGTAACGAAAAAAACCATAATAATACCAAAATACACTGTAGAACAGCACCCAAAAGATACTACACCTACGTTTACATGCAGTAACACCACTGTAACACTAGAATAACACAAGGGTAACACCAATAAACCAGAAGCCTAATACCATAGTAACGAAAAAAAACCACAATAATACCAAACCACACTGTAGAACTGCATCCGATAATACTACATGAACACCTATGTTTATATGGAGTAACACCACAATAATGTAGAACAACAACCAAAAGATACTACATCAACACCTACTTTACATGGAGTAACATCATAGTAACACCAGAATAACACAAGGGTAACACAAAAAAACCAGAATTCTTAAACCGTACTAATGAAAAGAAAAAAAACCACAATAATACCAAACCACACTGTAGAACTGCATCCGATAATACTACATGAACACCTATGTTTATATGGAGTAACACCACAATAATGTAGAACAACAACCAAAAGATACTACATCAACACCTACTTTACATGGAGTAACATCATAGTAACACCAGAATAACACAAGGGTAACACAAAAAAAACCAGAATTCTTAAACCGTACTAACGAAAAGAAAAAAAACCATAATAATACCAAACCACACTGTAGAACAACATCCAAAAGTGACTGCATCAACACCTACGTTTACATGGAGATAAAACTAACAACATTCAAAAGTGACTACATCAACACCTACGTTTACATGGAGATAAAACTAAAGCCTAAACCACTTAAACAGTACTAAATAAAAGACAAGAAACAAGAGTAATAGGAGAGTAACACCGAAATAACACAACAGTAACACCAAGACTCACTTGATCTTGACTTTCAAAGTTCAGGCTGAATGATGTCATCTCAACGTTCATGGAGACTTCCGGCATCTGAACGTCCATGGAGAATTTCAACAAGACTTAGCTATGGCGGAGCTGTGAACGGAGCTATGAACGAAGGTGTGAAAAAACCAACGAAAAAATTTCATCACCCTTCGAATAGAACAGCAACCTGACGTGAAATAATTTTATCATGACGATATTTTTTTCAGAATTCGGGTTTAGGGCGGGGCCCGATCGCGAATACTAATGGAATAAGTGAAATCGTAATTTACAGCTGACGACATCTTATTGGAAACACATATTACTTGAGTAGTACTGATGGAATAATTTTCGTCATTCGTTCAACATATGTTAATAAAATTTTTATGAATTAAGAGGAGTGGCGAATAACACAGGCCGATAGAACGTGGAGAAAAAGAAACCTGGCTCGGAAAAAAAAAATAGCAGATCGCGAAACTCGACGCTCCCTCGCTCGCCGCGGCAGAAGGTGAGTGAAGAGGACGGGAATATGCACGGCAAGGAGGATGAAGGATATTCGAGTGGGAAGGATTCTTTGGCAGCACCGAATTCCAACGAGGAAACGGGCAGCGGCGGATCGTCGGGGACGTCTTCTTCTGCGGACAAGAAGAAGGAGAAGACAAGGGTGAGTAGGACATCGCTAATACTGTGGCATACACACCAGAATGACGCCTCCGCCGTCCGCAAGCTCCTGCAGGAAGATGGCAACCTCGTGAACGCCACGGACTATGACAATCGCACCCCGCTTCACGTTGCATCTCTTCATGGCTTGATCGATGTGGCCAAGTGCCTCCTCGAGTACGGCGCTGATGTCAATTCGCAGGATCGTTGGAAGAATACGGTATTCCGATCACTTCTTATCTTTACTTTTTCTTCTCGATCACAAATCATGAGTCATGCTCTTAATCATAGAGAAAAATAGAAGGGTGGGTTCCTTAGAACGTTTGGCAGATGTGCGTTTAACCGAGGATGGCATGAAAAATTATTATAATAGAGAGTCCAGAAAATAGGTTTGGTCGTGAGGAATAATTTTTGATGATTTGTACATGTGCAAATGAATAATAAAAGATACACAAATAGGATATATATTCATGTACGTAGGATTGATGGGAAAGAATTGTGCCAATAGTCTTACTTGATTTTTTCTTAAATTTTGGTTGGGCATTTTAATCATAATTATTAGTAGTTAGCAGCTTGAACTCCCACTTTTGTGGTAGGAACTACGTCCACGGGCCACAAAGCCTCGCTCAGAGCCCAATGTATAACGCTCAACAAGACTGAAATGAGAAACAAAACTTATTAAGCGAACTCCGAGTAATTGGGTAGGGCTAATGATGATGATAATTCGCACACTCAGTTTTTTTTTTTTTTTTTGGGTGTATTGCTCATTCGTACTTAAAAAAAAAAAATAGAAAAAATCTCAACTTGATATCACAAGATAGTCATGCAAAAATCATTTCAAAATGAAACTCTGTTGTGTAGGAGATTAACTCTAAAACTTTTTTGCAGCCACTTGCTGATGCTGAGGGAGCTAAGAAGCACAGCATGATAGAGTTGTTGAAATCACATGGTGGATTGTCTTTTGTAAGTTTTGTTGTCAGCTTAATTGAGGTTCATGATATAATTCAAAAGTAATATTCCTTGCTATTTTTTTCTCAATTTACCTTTTACTGCTTGCTAATTTTATTTTGTGTTTTACTGATATAATTTTAAATGCAGTTTATTTAGAAATTTTGCTATTTTTTCATTATATCTATACATGTCTGTAATATTATTTTCTTATTTCTTTGGTATACTTGTTTTAGAAGATCCGTAGTTGGAAAATTGTGGGAAGATGGTTTTTTGAATTCCAAAATAGAACGGCTTGTATGGATGGCTACTGAATAGATTTTTTCAATTTGTAATTTTTTGAGTGAAGTGATTCAAAAATTTTCTTATAATTCTTGTTTACTTTTTGGGAAATTTTGAGGATTTAAGAATGCGTCACCTTAAGTGCAAGGGCCTAAAGCTCAAATATAATGGTGCAATGAAGGGGATGCAGCAACACCTTTTCCTTGAATGCAAGTGTTCAACACTGAAATAGGACTGCATTGTTACCTTTTAGTTGCATGGCATCAGTGCTCTATCCATGAATGCAAATAGTGCTGGTACGACAGAAGTTATGCCAATATGGGGGCTTTTGGCCTTTGCTTTCCAAAGAGATGCCATGAAACTTCTTTACCCTAAAAAGGATTGGATTTCTACTCATCAAAGCACAAAAGAAGGAGGGAATTTCCATATGCTTGAATAATTAGCTAAACATATTAGCAATACCAGACTTATATATATTCTAAATCAGCTAAGCATGTCAATATTTGGCAGTGTAGCATAGTAGCACTTCGTTGAATCTTTGCTTCCACATTCATGTTAACTGTCATTATTATTGGGGATTGCAATGGAATCCTTTTACTTTGAATTTTATATATTTTCATCTGCAGAAATGCTACCAGAAACAATTTTAGACTGTTGGATAGTGAACCCATGTTCTGCTTAGTCCATATCTTTAACCTCTTTTTTGTTTAGGCTTTAGCTTTTTATTTTCATGAGATTTTAAGTGGCATGCTTGCTTTTTGATAGATTTAGCAAATCATGTTATTTTGTTATGATAATTATTGCTTTTACATTTATTCACCAAATGCTTTCCTTCACATATTTCGTGCAGGGACAAAATGGAAGCCATTTTGAACCTAAACCCGTCTTGCCCCCTCTTCCTCACAAGTGCGACTGGGAAATTGATCCATCGGAACTAGATTTCTCATCCTCGTCTGTAGTTGGAAAGGTTAGCTTCTGATTTTTGAACTATTAGTTAATGTTAAACATTTCATGGCATGGTTTAGTTTTAGATGCTAAAGTTTTTATATTGTCTTGTTTCAATTTCTGCACACAATTGAAATGAATGCTGGTGAACTGCTTTGGCGATAGGTTTATATCCTTCTGGTTTTTTGTGTTAGATTTAGGGTCCGTTTGGGGAGGAGGTTTTCGCGCGGCGCAGAGAGCGACCGCGAATCGCGATTGTTTGGGGCGGAGGATTTTGTGCGGCGGGACGCGGGTCGCTGATCGAACCCCGTGGCCCGCGTTCGAGCGATGGATCATTATCCCGGTTACCCTTCATCGCTGCAGAGATGTGGGAGAATCCAAAGAAGCAAGGGATGCGAGAGAATCCAGATAAGTGAGGGATGCAGGAGAACCTAGATGGCTCTGCTCCGTCGCCATTGTCGAGAACTCCCACATCTCCGTCGTGGGAGAAGGCAGCAGGCAACATCACCTACGATTCGCCCTCTTTCACTCCTCCCATTACCTCCGTCGTGGGATAAGTATGCAATCCATGTATTTCCAACATCTTGGTGTTATTATTTTCTTAATTGGCTTTATCGGGGCTGTTTGGTTGCAAGATATAGCCAAATTTAGCAAGTATTTTGGTAAAATTAGCTACATTGATCCTATTGCCTTCTTAATTTGCAATTTACTCGTATACCTGAAGAAATCGGATAGGCGTGCAATCCATGCATTTAGCAAGTATCTAGGCTAAAATTTTGAGGTTGTTGAATGTAAGAGATTTATATCACTTTTTCTCACCGTGCCTTTTTTCCTCAGTTAAATGCTAAATATTAAAAGTACTGGCCAAAGTGTTTACTGTCATTTAATTGTATTTATTGCTCTTCATGCCAAACTTTTTTCAATATTTAATGATTTCTTCTTTGATAGCCAGGTAAAAGCAATATCTCCTATAGGAACACAATCTTGTTGGTATTCTTTTTATTAAACACATCATCATTCAAATTGTATTTATTATATCTATAAGTTAGATGGATAAATGCTTGTTGTCGTTGTTATTCTATATCCATAAGTTAGATATTTTTAAAGATAGAGTAAAACAAACCAAAGTTAGTCATACCTTTTAGTATCAGATTATTCTCCTTGATTTGTGAAATGAATTGTTGTTAAAGCTTTCATACTTTGATTAATTACTTGAACAAGGTGACATCATTAATATCATCATTATTTTTTCTTATAAATTTATTAGTTTTTCTTTTTCTTTTTTTTTTGGCACTTTCGGCAATCACTATTAAGTGAGTGGTGTATCTGAACTTCTATTCTGTTTTGAAATGAATTTTTTTTTCTGAAGTATCAAACATGTCGCTGTCATAGTTATGTTTTAAATAGCTTTACTAAACATGAGCAGAATGGTCTTTTTTCCATAAGCAGCTGACCCACAGTTGTTTTCACACAGCTTTAAAAAACAGCTTCTCCGCAGCAGCGCTTCCCCACAACAGCTTCTTGGGACAGCGCAACTACAACTGAAAAGTTGAGAAGTTTCAACTACCCCAAACAGACCCTTAGTCTAATAGGTTCAGGGTCTGTTTGGTGCAACTGCAGCTGCGCTGCCCCAGGAAGCTGCTGTGGGTGCTTAAGCTGTCTGATTGTTTGTTGCAGCTGTGTGAAAACAGCTGCCCTCGTTTCTAGAAAAATGACCATTTTGCCTCTGTTTAGTTAAACTGTTTGGAACAGAACAATGACAGTCTTATATATGATACATCAGAAGCAGAAATTCACTTTACTCAGAAGCAGAAATTCACTTAGCAGAAATTCACTTTACAAGCTAAACATGTAAAAAATAGACTTCTATAATTTTTTTTTTTTGTTATACTTTTATTTTTTCTCAACCATTTCACTCACTAAGGAGTTAATGAGGTCTTTGTAATTCCCAATAAATAAAAGATAATCTTTCATCCACAATTTCCCTAATATTTTCTCCCTTTAAACTTCCTTAGGCTCAACTCAAATCTGTTGTGAGGTATAACATTACCAATACATTGGATAGCAGTGATCAAATGCAATTTCTTCCATTGAAAATTCTCTGTCCAGTTAATATTAAACAATATATATTAAATCATCATTGTGACTCACCATCATCCCTCACAAAAAGAAAAAAAAACATAATCTTACTTTTCGTCAACCAAACAAGATTGAACAAAGAAATTCTCGCAGAAATTTTTCCCAATCAATGAAATTAGGCAAAGCAAGTTTCAACCACGTTTTCATTCCTTCCCCATAATTCCTTCAAGCTGAACAAAACCTTAAAAGCCCTAAGAGAAAAATGATTGGTGAAATCAAAGAGAAACTTATCTTTGAACACCTTTAATAGCTTTCCTTCACTTATATCACCCAAAGTAATACCAAACGCCGACCTCCTATTCAAACAAAACCAAGCTCAAGAGAATATATATTGCAGAAGTTTTGCTAATAGATCAGAAAAACCTAAGCAACAACAGAGTAACATGCAAAAAAATCAGAAATAGAAACGAGAAAAGGGCCCTGGTCTTTTGTATATCCATTCATCACTTGAGAAGAGAGCGGGAAAAGATGAGCAGCAACGAGCGTTCAAAGAAGTAGTGTGGAGACGAGCGGGAGTGGAAGGCGGGTATGGGGAAGAGACAAAAGGCGTGACAGTGATGAGTAGTGCTTTTGCTAGATTTGTGATTGACTATAGATCGGCAGGTTCGCCGGAGAAATGGGAAGAATGAAGGTTTAGCGGCTGTAAAGAATCAAAGGGCCCGGCGCATCGAATTGGGAAAGCTGAAGCCAGTGGACTTCACGAGAGAGAAGGCTCGGGGAGAAGAATTTCGCGGGGGCAAAAGGTTATAGAAGCGGGGCGAACGCGGGGCCATGGGGTTGATCTCGTGGCCCGCTTTCCCTCAGCTTCTACGATGCGCGAGTTAACATCCAAACAGTTTTTTTTTTTCGTTGCGGTGAGCGCCACAGCGCCCCCCCCCCCCCGTTTCTTCTTTTTTATATGATTAGATGCCTTTTGGTTGAATTTCATTTACATCTATTGAGAAGGACGCATTGCGGTCATTTTGTATGATGCTGATTGAACTAATTTCAATCAAATTTGTTTAAATTGGCATAACTCTTCTTGAGATAAGACTAAATAGAATCTGTTGCAGACAGGTATTTTTACGAAATACCTATCAGACTGTGCCAGCAATCAAAAATAGAGGTAGAAGGTTTAGCATTGCTGATTTACATTTTCAAAGCTGGAGTAAAACAAAACATAAACATTATATAGCTTTCACTTTTAGATTGATAAATGACCAGCAGTTTCTGATTAACAAATATGATAAAGGAAGCTAAAATATTAAACCATGAGTGCTTCCCCAGCCCTCCACATGCTTGCTTTATTTTTCCATTACACAATGTCACACTTCAGCAAAAAAAAGGACTTTCAACATGTCTGCCCATGCAGCGCTTTCTATTATGCTAGGAGATTAAAGATTTTTCACCAAATTATATATGGGATAAAATGAAGGCTAGCTTGCACATATAATTTCTGGAGTTTGTATATTGGTCCAAACTTACAAGTGTAGCTGACTTAGCTTTGTGGTTGGGTGTTGTGTCCAATCATAAGGTGTTGAGTTCAAGGCCTAGCATATATGGTTCTGCTCAAGAAAACAAGTGCCCATCTTAGGAGTTTTTTTCTTGGGATACGAATTATTTTAACTTTTCTTTTACTTTTTTATGGAATTGAATGGGTATTTTTTGGGTTATTGTCTTTCACATAAGTTTCATATTCATGTCTTTGTTCTTTGCGTGCGTTTCCTATGTTGTTCAGCTTTTGTTAAGTTTTTTTTATGAAGCTTGCTGCATGTTTTTATTACATCGAGCCCCATAAGAAATCTCTATTGATAATCTTTGTTCGAGGTGGCTGTTTGTGCACCTTGGAAGAGAAATTTGAATTAGTGTTTTATGTTGGCAGCTTTTTTCACCAAAGCCAAACCTTTCATTAGGTTGTTGGCGATCATTAATCCGCATTTTCATCCTTCTATTTGAATCATAACAATTACTTCATTTAGAGAGAATAAATCATTTTATTCGAGAATTTATATTTAATAGCATCAAACTCAACATTTAATTGTACGAAAAATATCTTTAATTTAGTCTTTTTCAATAAATTTTTTCAAGGAGTGGCACATTTTTGCCACATCCTATTTGGATGCATTGATATTGATTTATCTCTTATGAAAAATCTTATAGTAGATGGGAGTAATTCTGTGATGAACTTCTTCATTTTGTGGCCGAGATGTTCATTTTCATTCCATAAAGCTGGGTTGCATCATCAACTTATGAATTTGCTAACGTCACTTATTTAAGAAATCATGAAATTCTATAACTCGGACATTGCCATAGAGTCCTGTTCATCACAAACATTGGATGGGGGATTGCCTTACTAAGGTCTGGTGTTTAGTAAATGATCATCTGAGATAATTGTTTCCATTCAAATAGTTCTTCCATCTCACTTCCAGATGAGCTGACCAATGAAACATGCATATTATGATTCATTAGAAGGCAATTTGTGATAGTAATTATTTGCAAGAGAATATAAATAAGGCTGTAACCATTAAGGCTACAGCCAACGAGAAATAAACTGAGACTCGGACATCATATGAAGAATTGAAGAGAATAGGTTCTATTTTTTATTGCACAATGTGTACTGAATTTATACAATTATAGTTTAGTAGGAAATAACTAAATGAAGTTGTGAAAATTAGAGATGCGACTAATACAAATTTTACGATAAAATTTAGAGGAATGGCAACAACTAGCTGAAGTTATATGGATGGATGAGCTGGCATGAAAAGGTTATCATGGATTGGAGAACTCGAATGGAGATGTTGGTATGGGTGAGCTTGTTGAGGTGTAACCGCTTGGCTGCTTACTAAGGTGTAGCCACTGGGTTACTTGTTAAGGAGTAATTTTTGGACTGGATGAGGCATAACTTATCACACGCTTGTTTGAAATGCTTATCTTGGTACTATAAGTTTTGATGAAAAAAAATAATCTCAAATTTTGAGATAAACTTTAAAAGCCAAGATCAATTAAATATATTTTTTACTCGAGAAATAAGTGTTGCATATATTTGTAATTGTAAGCATAAAATGCAAAATAAGTATCGGGAAATAAATAATATTTAGTTGTGTCAATAGATCTTTAACAATAGCTCAACGGGGAAATAACAGTAATAAAGAGAAACGAAAGAAATAACTCATAAGTAACAACTTCCCAAATGCAAATGAAGACTAAGTTAAAACTATAGCATAAAATTATGTGTTAAAAGATATAATTACAGTTGAAATGTATTCCTTTAATGGAGATCCACCAAGTGACATCATAAAATCAATTAAAGTAAAAAATTTCTATGAATGAGTTTAAAATTCAAACTTAGCAAATAACTAAATATTTATTTAGATATAAACGACAAAACATGGACATATAATATCAACAATAGGGACACGCTTTACAATATAAAAGCAATATTATGAGTGCCATCTTGTCATCATATTAAAATAATATCATATGACGTGAATGAAAATTATCAACTGCTATAATATGCTCTACAATATGGTGATTGATATTCATGATCATTCATATAAAAAATTATAAACAAGATTTTTTTTTGGCTACCATAATCATGTGCAATCGCATGTGGCATAATTATATATATGTGAAGGTGGTTCATCACTGCTCCATCTTACTATCTTTATATTTTTATATATTTATAATTGGTTTTACTAAGACACTCTTAGCCGAGAAGATATGCACCTGCACATGTCAATGCTATGATTTCGAAGCAAGTTGCCATGTCATGGAACCATTGGCTTGGCTAGCTAAATTCACTATGATTTATGTGGACAAAATAATATGTGTGTGAACAACTCTTGCAATAATATAATCATTTCAAAGTTAATTTATCTAGTAATTAAAATAGGATAAAACTATCTACATTACATAGTCTTCTAATGTAAGCATTAAATAATATCTACAAATTATGTATATTAATAATTGAATGTGAAATGCTTAACTGACAAATTACTAAGTACTTAAGCAATCTATTGCATGTAGTCTAGAATAAAGCTCTTAACAAAGAATAATGTATTTATCTTTTAGTATTTAAAAATTATCTACTTTAAATTGCAACAGTTGAAATCATGCTTTTTGGCAATAGAAAGAAATTGAGTCAAATATTAACTCTAAAATCTCAACGAAGATTTTAACTAAATACTTAAATATGTATATTTAATTAAATAATAACCTACTTTGAAGATTTTCTAGATACTCATAATTTGATGTTGTAAATATTTTAAAAGCTCTGTGTTTTATTTGAAGATTGTTTATATACACTTCCTTATTTATGTTTGATATCAATCAATAATTGAAGAATTAAAATGTATGATTTTACCTTGTGATGATTTAAAAAAGCCTAATTCTTCACGGACTTGGTCCTGACTAGTACAAGTTAGGACGAGTATTTGTGAAAATTGAGTTTGACCGAGTCATACTCCTCAGTTATAACTGTGGTTGACCACCCTTGTGATTTCAACATCTTGAATTTCCTTTTCCCTTTGAAAAATCTATAACTAAGAACAATTCATTGGTCTTCCATTTTTGCTCTGTCAACACAATGCATGATAGGTTTCTTTCCAATTTCAGATCTTTGATGCCAAAAATCTTGATTTATAATCACCAATAAAATTGGCGAGAGGGTGCTTACGACTTGCTTTGATATGTTTGGATATTTTTTAATAGGAAGCTTTAAAGGATGTTAGGAAGAGTGGAAACAAGGGATTAGGATTTTGATATGTAGAATTAGGGGAACGCCATGTTATGAGTCAGTTTGATTTTAGGTCTTTGGTGTGGTGAATATACATAACCCAGGGGTTTGAAACGAATTGAAAATCTCAGGTAAGGGTGCCTAGATGTGTTATGGAAAGTTTCATGAAATATGGGACATTTTATATTTTATTTGTAAACTAGGTCATATAGGAACCCAATTTGGCAAATAACTTTGGGTGGGTGTTTGGTTTTGTTAGAGAGATATTCAAGGCTTGAGAAAAATTGAAAACTTTTTATTAATAATATAAGAAATGTCTAGAGTAATTTTGGAGCTTTTTACAAAAACTTACGAGGGATTTGAGGTAGTCAAATATCCAAAGGTGGTATACTAGATTAAATTTGGCCTACTTTTTACTGAACTCTTTATGGTGGTGGTTTTAGGCTATGGTTTTGTGGGAGATTTGAGAAGAATAGAGGAATATATGAGCAAGATTTTCATATCAAGATATAAGTTTTTACAACAAGAGGAAAATTAAAAGTACAAGGATAACTAATACTTACCACTCACCAAAATAATACGGTGGCGAAAGATCAAATCTCTATCTCCTGGCCACCAAGTCTCCATACATTGAATGAAATTCAATTTTTTAAAAGTAAAAAACTCTTCATTTAGCTAAAAATCTAAATACTATAGAGTGCATCCATTTTTTTTCTACGTACCAGTATGATAAGCCTGTGATAGAGCATATACTGGAAACAAGAAATAAAACAACAAAAAAACTAAACGTCAGGATGCCACTGAAGTTTGTCGCAATGCTGACTTCCTACAATTTCAACAAATATAAACTCTCAGATTTTTATCAATGCGGTTATCAATGATGATGTATCCTAAAGCAGAAAAGAAAAAAAACTTTAGCTGTCTGTAGCTTGAGAGGGGCGCTACTTTGGTTGTCTAGGTAGTTGAAAATTCTAACTAAGGAAAGTTTGAGGTGCTCAGGTAGCACTTCGCTTTGCCTGAGCTGCTAATTCATTAGCTCATTGATAAATATGCACCCATTTGCAGCAAAATTTTCCGGAAAATGAAATTTTTTGTTGTCATGGAATGTTGTCTAAAACTATATTTCAAAACATCGCAAGTGATGAAATTCCAAGTTTTTTTTTTATATTTCATATGCTGTCCAGGGAGTGCTGTTTGTTCTTGCAAAAGCATATCCTGCACTTAACATTCCTCTAGCTAAAATATCTTCAAAGAAACTATAGTATGCAGTGGATCTCATGTCTGTGGTTTCTCGCCAGTCATTTGACTTCCAGATGCTAGTATTAAACCTTCTTTATATATGTCTGGTATACTTGCAGGGATCCTTTGGTGAGATTCTAAAGGCCTTTTGGCGTGGAACACCTGTAGCAGTTAAACGGATTCTTCCAACGTTATCAGATGATAGATTGGTTATGTAAGTTTTTTCAGAATATTGCTATTCTTTTTCTACTGTTAAGAAATAAAGTATTCTCTTTAATAGAAAATATTTGATTACCATGTAGCTACTCAGTGTTATCTTTAGGCTAGATTGGCCAATGTAAGCCATCACAACCTTATGGAATATTTCTGTGTGAGGACCACAATTTTGAAGCTTACGGAGGATTCTGCAAATCTTTAATCTGAAAGATAGTATTACTTAAATAACTTTTGAGATATTTTTATAAGTTTTATGTTTTATTTCTTAAAATATTAAGTTTTGTTCTAATGGGAGAACTTAAGCCACTCTACGTGTCAACAAATTTTATTTGTTGAATTTGGTTCCTTCATTACGTTTGCCCTTTGTCTATGTTCTAAATGTAATAACCTACATCCTACTGTTCCTCTGCTTTATCCTCCATAAAAGCTTTTTAAAGCTCTAAAGGTTACAATTTTGACCCAGCAGCATTATTTTTAGGATAGTGATTGTCACCACTAAGAGATTTTAACTATTTTTCATTCATATCAAAAGAAATTCTGATTCTCATACCAACCTGAATTACAAAATGCAAAGTAGTGACAAAAATGTTATGATAACTTTTCTTAACTGCATCTCCTTGTTCAGTTCATTGTGTTGAGTTTTAGCAGCACGTGATATTAGGAGCAATATTTATCAACTTAGAGGATGTATTCAACATGGAATGTAATTTTGGTAGTAGTAGTTTTAGTGCCAAAGTTGTAACTATGGGTGATCAAATTATTAAAATGTGTGAACGCTTTAGATATCTCGAGTCTATTGTTTAAAGTGATGGTTAAAGTGATGGTGATATAGATGTGATATAGATGGGGATGCTATTAATAGAATTTAAGTTGGTTGGTTGAAGTGAGGAATGTTTCGAGCCTATTGTGTGATAGAATAGACTGAAAGGAAACTTTTATAAGATGGTGGTGAGACCTGCAATGCTCTATGGCGTTAAATGTTGGCCTTTAAAATGGCCTTTAAAAGAGAAGCAAATTGTTTCCGAGATGAAAATTCTTAGGTGGATGAGTGGCTTTACACTTGAGACAAAAATGCGAAATGAATATATCTATGATAGGGTTGGTGTAGCCCAGTGGCGGACAAAATTAGAGAGTCGTCTTAGTTGGTTTGGTCACATTAAACGTCGACCATCTGATGATCCGATTAGGAGAGTAGATGTTTTAGATTTGACATATGTTAAGAAAGGCAGAGGTAGACCTAGAAAGACTTGGGCATATTGTATAAAAAATGATCTTAATTTATTAGAATTAAATGAAAATATGATACTTAATAGGATGCAATGGAGGAAAAGGATTCATGTAGCCGACCCCACTTAATGGGATAAAGATTTGTTGTTGTTGTTGTAGAGCGAATTAGTCATGTAAAAATAAGAAAATTTTAATTCTAGCTCAATTCAAAATCAAATCATTTTGTGTTGAGTTTACTAGATTCAAAATGACTCTATTCCGAATTGGCTAAAAAATTATTTTAAATAAATTGCTCATAGAAATATGCATATTATATATATAT